CCACTGCACTCTTCCTGGGCGACAGAGTGAGACTTTGTCTCAAAAAAAAAAACAAAAAAGGTCCACTCTTAGGCTTCTGGAGAAAGCTGCCAGGGAGGAGTTGAGGTGGCCCCACCCAGCCAGAAAGTTTGCTTGTGGAGGCAGGGCTGTCTGAGATCCACAATCTGGCTGTTGGGTGTGGGTTTTGCTCTTCAAAAAAAAAAAAAAAAAAAAAAGGTGTGAACTGTTGCTCAAGATCACAAAAATCACATAGCTAGTAAGTTGTCAAGCTGTGACTTAACTCAAGCGGTTTGGTTCCATAGGCTGTGCTCTTAAGCATTGCCGTTTGCTGCCATGGCATGAATTTCCTGTTTGATACTCTGCTTAAGTAGAGGTCACCTTGTATAGATTATCGATTATGCAAATAACTGGAATACAATAAGCTTATTTTGACCAAGATTATAATTATTGGTATGACACTAGTTTATATTTCTGATGAACTCTTTTAAGATTGAGTTTATAAGTTCTGGTCTATTATTAAGTGAGATCCATGCAATTTCAAACACTGGGAAAGCGCAAATTATACAAATTACTAGAAACATTTTTAAAAATGAGGTTGGGATTCCTGTTAGGATTCCTATAACGAGCACACCCTTACATCCCCTGGGAGATGCTTTTGTGGTAATTTTCATTCCTTTCATGATTAAACATGTAGTTTCTTGGCTACTCTTATCTATAATTTTCTCTTAGGGCTACTTCCTCTTCTAGCACAAAGAGCCAGAAAAAGAGCTGTATTTACTCTTCACCTGCCACTAAAATGCCCAAAGTTAAGATACTTAAGGTCTATAGTATGCTACATTTCTGTCACCTGAATTGGAAACTCTATTGTCATCAGAAATATTGGAAAGAAATCTAGACACATATTAATTCTGTAACATAATCATGTAAACATACCCTGACAAAATGTACAACTTTCCTTTGCTCCTACTATGATAAATTCAAATGTCAAATATATCACGAATGAGGGCCTAGAGGTAAGGAATCAACCTTTTTGTAGAATCTTTAAAGAATTTATTTTATTTCTCACTGGCAACCTAGAATATAACTACTTAGAAACAAATAGTTCAAATTAACGAAATGAATATATCACATTTTCTTTACTTTTTATTCATTTGGGAATGGACA